TCATAGTCAAACTTAATTGAGTCGTGCACTGTGTTGATAAATTTCTCCTCACTGCCCGTGTATACAGAGAATATATCATCGATACATCTTGCATAGAATACGCAGTCGCTAACGATGAGGGTATATATATATATATATATATATATATATATATATATATATATATATATATATATATATATATATATATATATATATATATATATAAACGTTCAAGCAAAGGTAGGAAGGCATTGCAGGGAATCAATAAAAAATGTAAACAAAAACATCCGTTTCATTTGAAAATAATTGAGTTCGCTCATTTTAAGATCTGCAAGTTCTTCTTAAAGGAAAGTTTTGACGAAAAATAAATATAACTTCTGGGATATGGCCCTAGACGTCTTAGGGTTGGGAATAATAGGTGGGTGGGCAGCTCCGGCCTTCTATTCTTTCTTCATTTTTTGGAGGGGTTTGTGTCTTGTCCGTCCTACATTTTACATCTACCTTTTTCTTTTTTCTTTTTTTGATAAAGAAAAAAGAGGAATATATTTAATCTTTCAAACAACGTTCTCAAAATCCCTAGTCCGTCTCCACCAAAAAGTAAAAAAAAAAAAAAAAATCATTAAATGCTGTGGCATGAATCAATTAGCATTACGTTAATAAACAAGTTATCACGAGAGAGATAAAATATGACAAGTTCAGGGTTTTTTTTATCTTTACACCAACTTTCATGAACATTTATTCCAATGTTCAGCAGATTTTATCGGTAACTGACTTTATTTACATATTTTATATTTTTCTTTCTATTAAAGATACATTATTTTTTATCACGCAAATTCTTTTCAGATATTTGCATTAATACCGAAATATAGATTTTTGTATTAAATAAAATTTATAATTTTCTTGCGATATTTACTAACTCATGTGTTACGAAGATGTTAATTACAATTGCTTTCGCCCTTGATATTTGAGCTTGATACTGAACGGGAGTAATTGAGCTGTAATGGAACTTGATATTTGAGCTTGCAATTGAACGTGATACTTGACGGGAGTACTTGAGCTTGGTATTTGACGCTGTAATTGAGTTTGATATTTGAGTGTGTAATTGGAACTGATATATCACGGGAGTAATTGAGCTTGGTATTTGACGCTGTTATTGAACTTGATACTTAAAAGGAATCATTGAACTATAATTGAATTTGATATTTGAGTGTGTAATTGAACATCATATTTAACGGGGGTAAATGAGCCTGGTATTTGACGCAGTAAATTAAGCTTCTTATATGAGTCCTGTCATAAAGCTTGATATTTGACCGATATAATTGAGCTTGGTATATGACGCCATAATTGAATTTGATATTTGCGCGTGTAACTGGGCTTGTTAACTGAGCGCTATAATTTGAGCGTTGTAATTGAGCTTGTTATATGACCACTGTAACTGATTTTGATATTTGACGGTTGTAATTGGGTTTGATATTTGTACGCTGTATTTGAGCTCTGTAATTGAAATTGGTATTTGAACGTGTTATTAATCTTGATTGTTGAGGCCTGTAACTTATCTTGTTATATGAGTGCTATAATTGAGCTTGGTATACGAGTGTTGAAGTTGAGCTTGATATTTGGGCGCTGTAATTGAGCTTTATATTTGAAGTCTGCAATTGAGCTTCGTATATGAGTGAAAAGCATTATGAATCGTAACGTGATATCAGTCCTTCTATATGACAGTGAATAACAAACAATCTCCTCAAACTTGAAAAAGAGACTTGAAACTACAGAAATGTTGTGCTACAGAAGGATGCTGAGAATACCATCTAGCGCACATAATGAGGAAATAGGACTTGAAACATCTGATGCTCACAAGATAGATTAAATGGCACAAGGACAGAGGTAAGTAACGCATAACCAGTAAGTAAATAGATGACGGAAGAGGTTTTATGAGGAATAAAAATAACAAAACTTATTGAAAGGTACAAAGGACATGAAATTGTGGGGAGCCATGATTACCTACGCCCTGAAGGGACACGAGCCATGGAAGGATATATATATATATATATATATATATATATATATATATATATATATATATGACTTTAAAAATCAGGAAATCAGTTGAATCCGTTGCCTCGTTTTCAACCTTACGGTCTCCTCAGGCGATTTTGATTGAATGAACTCTTAATGCTTTTTATTAAAAAAAATGCTAGATTATTATTTTCCAAAATAAATAAACGCACGATGATCTGGGTGATGAGAAGAAGAAGAAGAAGAAGAAGAAGAAGAAGAAGAAGAAGAAATCGTAAAATGTCAAAAGAAGAAGAAGGAGTAAGAGAAGAAGAAGAAGAAGGGGGAGGAGGAAGAGAAGAAGAAGAAGAAGAAGGAGGAGGAGGAGGAGGAGGCTGAGAAGAAGAAGAAGGACGGGGAAGAGAGCATAAGCAAGTGTATAGCAAATATGTTAAAGGAAGAAGAAGAAGAAGAAGAAGAAGAAGAAGAAGAAGAAAAAACAAGCGTATCGTAAATGTATTAAAAGAAGGAGACGAATGAGGAAGAAGAAAGGTTAAGAGAAGAAAAGAGAGTGTATTGTAAATGTATTAAAGGAAGAAGAAAAAGAAGAAGAAAAAAGAAGAAAAAGAAAGAAAGAGAACAAGAAGTGGGATATATATTTGTATGTGTGTTTGTGTGTGTTTGTGTGATTGTTATGAGACATGTTTTGATGCAATACTTTGTTATCTTTATGCAATTTCCCCCTTTTTTCGAGGACAAATAGTCGGCTCAGGTGTTTGCAGAAACTTCCAGTATTTTTTTCTTATCTATTCTCGAGCTTTCGACCATTCACACATCACATTCTGGAACAGAGATATATAGATACTAGTTGTCACGAAAAAATGAGATGACAAACAAAAAACTGATATCATATCAACGTCCCTGTTGGAAAAAAAATGTATATGAACACGAAGCAGCCGAGGCAAAAAAGACACTGCTGCGAAAGAAGTTATTTCAAAATCAATATTACCTGAGGTTGCCTTTATTCTGTACTACTGCTTGTAGTCATGATAACAATTGGCTTCACTAGATTTACTCAAATTGTCACAGGAATTCTTTTTCAACTCGGACAGGATGTAGTCTTTCAATTCTGTATGTTCGTCGTTTTTTTTTCTTTCTATTTAAGTACATTCACAAAACGCTCAGTTGGATTTAAATCTGCTGACATGATTGCCCACTCGAGTAAGTTTATCTTTGACGTCTTCAGAAAATGTCTTTTTCTTTTTAACCAAATGTTTTTGATCATTATCGTGCTGGAACATAAGTCTTTTTTCCCAAGCGCTTGAATGAACGGGACATGTTTTCATTCAATATTTTGACGTAATCTTCAGCATTCATGATTCCGTTGATGAAATGCAACTCACCAACGCAATCAGAGCTCATAAAACTCCAGAACCTGATGTCTTCACGTACATACCAAACTATTGAGATAAAACACATTTCTTTATACGTCTCACCATGATGTCTGTAAAAACTTCGAAGGCGAGCAAACCCAAAGTAGTTATTATTACGCTGCCCCAAAATATAAAGAAAAATGTCTGTTGATGCAGCGTTGGTGTCCCTACTGAGGAATTTCCAATAGAACAACACACAATGCTGCATTAATTTTGAATGATTGTACCCCATAAGATTGTTTTCAAATAAATATAGATGTGATAAAACAATTGCATATATTAAAATAACAAACCCTATAGGTATTGCCATTTTATATTCACTGTATAATTAGTAGAGCGGTAGGTTAAAGAACGAGTCATTTCCTTGCTTATTACCAAGTTATAAGTTCAAATATCTATTATATATTCACTGTATAATCAACTAGTAAAGCGGTAGCATAATGGATGAGTCATTTGCCTGTATAACATAAAGTTAGAAGTTAAAATCCCTATTTCATATTTCACCCGAGGTGGAAGTTGGTTGGAGGACGGAAACAAATTAGACACTGGTCTAGAGAAAGGACCAAAGATTTATTTTCATTTGTATGATATGAAAATGTTTCTGTCAAGTCGTATAGTGTAGTGTTCGAATGAGAGGTGTGAGTGCGTGAAAAAGGAGTATGCTTAATCCTGCTGACAGCTTGTTGGCTATCGGTTTGGGATTGTCGCGTTGATAGTGGAATGGGTTCTCTTTTTGTGTTCACAAGAGGTCATTTTCAAAGCCTAATGGTCAAAGGGAGTCTATCATGTGACGTAGAGTAGATAAAGATGAGACACCAGACATGCATTTGATGGGATTGATTTTTAATCCAAAATATTGCAAGCGTTGTAGAACTTGTCGGATGTGAGACTCAGGTTCTGTTTCGCCGGTACCAGTTATAAATCCTCTCCTCTCTGTATGCGTAGACAAAATCTAGTCCGCAAAAAAACTTCGTCTATGAAACACTGAAATGTTTGTGTTGCATTTTTGAGACCAAAAGGCAGTTTTTAAAATTCGGAATTTACAAATGGTGTTGTTATTCTATTCAGAGCATGGTAGTTTCATACTTTTAGAACTTGTCTGATGTGAGACCCTGGTTATGCTTCGTCGGTACCAGCTATAAGTATGTCCTCTTTTTGATGTTTTATTCGGTCATGGTAATTTGATTGTCATCTCGGATGGGATCTATTTTAGATAATAATGATTTCTGTAGTAATGCGGATGTAAAATCCTATACATGTGGGACTGGATACCTATCCGGTGTTGTTATTCTATTCAGAGCATGGTAGTTTGCAGTGCGTCTCCAGTCTGGGTTGTTTGTCATTGGAACAATGTGTAACGGCGATGTCCAAGGACTACTGGATAGGAGGATTATATTTAAGTCTAGTATCCGGTGAAATTCCGTTGTCGATTTTAAATTTATCCGGTGATAATGGTCGTGGTGCTGCATGTATTGGTTGCCCAGTGGTGATTATCCGATGCACCGAATTATGTTTTGAATGTTCATTCTGCGTCACTCGGTTGGTTATGTCTCCGTATTCCTTTATCAATGTGCAATACATGCTCTTATCATGAAGTGCTGCTCTGATATAACGTACATAGTCCTTGTCTTGGGTCCTTCTCTCACTAATCCTCATGATATAAAGAACAGATTCCATGTCTTGGGTCCTTCTCTCACTAATCCTCCTGATATAACGAACAGATTCCATGTCTTGGGTCCTTCTCTCACTAATCCTCCTGATATAACGAACAGATTCCATGTCTTGGGTCCTTCTCTCACTAATCCTCCTGATATAACGAACAGATTCCATGAATTGGGTCTTTCTCTCACTAATCCTCCTGATATAACGAACAGATTCCATGTCTTGGGTCCTTCTCTCACTAATCCTCCTGATATAACGAACAGATTCCATGTCTTGGGTCATTCTCTCACTAATCCTCCTGATATAACGAACAGATTCCATGTCTTGGATCCTTCTCTCACTAATCCTCATGATATAAAGAACAGATTCTATGTCTTGGGTCCTTCTCTCACTAATCCTCCTGATATAACGAACAGATTCTATGTCTTGGGTCCTTCTCTCACTAATCCTTCTGATATAACGAACAGATTCCCTGTCTTGGATCCTTCTCTCACTAATCCTCATGATATAAAGAACAGATTCTATGTCTTGGGTCCTTCTCTCACTAATCCTCCTGATATAACGAACAGATTCCATGTCTTGGATCCTTCTCTCACTAATCCTCCTGATATAACGAACAGATTCCATGTCTTGGGTCCTTCTCTCACTAATCCTCCTGATATAACGAACAGATTCCATGTCTTGGGTCCTTCTCTCACTAATCCTCCTGATATAACGAACATATTCCATGTCTTGGGTCCTTCTCTCTGATATAACGAACTAATCCTCCTGATATAACGAACAGATTCCATGTCTTGGGTCCTTCTCTCACTAATCCTCCTGATATAACAAACAGATTCCCTGTCTTAGATCCTTCTCTTACTAATCCTCATGATATAAGGAACAGATTCTATGTCTTGGGTCCTTCTCTCACTAATCCTCCTGATATAACGAACAGATTCCATGTCTTGGGTCCTTCTCTCACTAATCCTCCTGATATAACGAACAGATTCCCTGTCTTGGATCCTTCTCTCACTAATCCTCATGATATAAAGAATAGATTCTATGTCTTGGGTCCTTCTCTCACTAATCCTCCTGATATAACGAACAGATTCCATGTCTTGGGTCCTTCTCTCACTAATCCTCCTGATATAACGAACAGATTCCATGTCTGATCCTTCTGGATCTCACTAATCCTCCTCTGATATAACGAACAGATTCCATGTCTTGGGTCCTTCTCTCACTAATCCTCCTGATATAACGAACAGATTCCCTGTCTTGGATCCTTCTCTCACTAATCCTCATGATATAAAGAACAGATTCTATGTCTTGGGTCCTTCTCTCACTAATCCTCCTGATATAACGAACAGATTCTATGTCTTGGATCCTTCTCTCACTAATCCTCATGATATAAAAGAACAGATTCTATGTCCTGGGTCCTTGGATCCTTCTCACTAATCCTCCTGATATAACGAACAGATTCTATGTCTTGGGTCCTTCTCTCACTAATCCTCCTGATATAACGAACAGATTCCCTGTCTTGGATCCTTCTCTCCTCTGATAATCCTTCTCTCCTAATATGATATAACGAACAGATTCTATGTCTTGGGTCCTTCTCTCACTAATCCTCCTGATCTAACGAACAGATTCCTTGTTTTGGGTCTTTCTCTCATCAATCCTCCTGATATAACGAACAGATTCCCACTCTTGGGTCCTTCTCGCCCTAATTCTCCTGATATAACGATCAGACCTCGGAAATCAGCTTTGTATAGTCGGCATTCTTTTTTTCTTGAGACATTCATTCACCAATCCTCCTAATATAATGAATAGAACTTAGCATCATCTTTGTATGGTCGGCTGCTCTTTTTAGGATATTGTTGCTTCCTTCACACACCAATCGTCCTGATATGAAGAACAGGCATTGGAATCAGCTTTGTATAGACGTCCTGCTCTTTTCTTGATTTTCTTGTGTCCTTCACACACCAATTCTCCTGATATAACAAATAGTCCTTGGAATCAGCTTTCTATCGTCTTACTTCTTTTTTTTTTCATTTTCTTTGTTTTTCACTCACCAATCCTCCTGATATAACGAACAGATCTTGGAATCAACTTTGCATTGTCTGACTGCTCTTTTCTACAGACATCGGATTCTTTCAGTTTTCTTCCAAATTCTGTACAGTTTTGTGACGGTATTTTCGCTTAACCTAAGTTTGATCGCCATTCTTTTCGTAGTCGTCGTTCCGATTGTGCAAATAAATAATCCATTCTTTTAAATCGGTAAAGAGTTCTTTTCTACGCGGAGCCATTTTGAAATAAATGTCTGCACACTAAAAACTGTCTTAATCACAACTATTGTAAAAATTTGCGTGCTTTATTTATATACATATTAGGAAAGAAAATGGTAGGTGACTTGAAAATGTACTTAATATCCCCACCTAACGGTGATCCTGTTTTCCCATTATTACATATTTTTGTTTTTAATCCCGTACTTTCGGTGTTGTAGAATTTAGTAATAAATAATATCCTTTACCTGCCTTTCACTAAGTCAAATTTTTTTTAATTATATATTTACTAATATTTTAACATATACTGTATACACGATGAAACCTCCAAAGTCTTACGATGAAACTAGAACCAGAAATATCTAATTTTGTTTCGTACTGTCATATGATGCTTTTTCAAAATTTTGAATTTTTATCTTTCTTCTGTGCAAACATGAGACGATCTGCAATTCATTAACGCTGTCCAACATATTCATCTTGATCAGGGAACATTTAATCGAGACATTGACGACATAAACATTTTCTTTTACACCATTAGCTGCAGCTGATTCTGTTCGGCTTTCATTCAAAAATATATAATATATTTAATAAAAGATACATGTTATACATCTTGCAGTCAGCTTGCATATTCCGTCGTTTCGATCCAATTCAAGCAACATTTTTGCGTAACTTAAGTTCATCAATTCTTTAGAAAATACTATATCTATGTAATACACACACACACACACACACACACACACACATATATATATAAAATATATATATATATATATATATATATACACTGAAGCATGCTTCATTAAATAATATAGAAAAGTTTTGTAAATTTATTTTAAGTAAGTTCCTTTCATATTGACTGATAAGCTTAATAACATTATCATTGAAAGACGAAAGGAAATCACCATATTGATAGATGTTTAAATCCAATCTAAGCTTTCGGCTTAAATAAGACATTATCAAAGATGACAATTACTTTTCAATATATCAAACAATACAGGGACGACACAATAAGCCGTTTTTGTTGCATGAAAAATTTCAAAGGAATGACTAATTCGTGTATACGAGACGCGGAAGCGAAAATCGCGACGCAGATCGTGAGGTCACACGCGAGAATGAAAACAAGAAGTATTAAGTATTGGAAGCCGTTGGTATAAACCAATGGTTTCTGTTATCAATTATAGGCATTTAAGAATATTTGTGGAGATTTTGTAGTTTATTTTGTTCAGGTTAGGTTTCAACTGTTTTATGTATACAGCTTCAAGAATTTTTACTTTTTGTTTATTGTTTTCATGTTTAAGTATAGTTGCATTTCCAACATATATATATATATATATATATATATATATATATATAATATATACATATATATATAACTATATATATATATATATATATAACTATATATATATATATATATATATATATATATATATATATATATATATATATATATATATAACTATATATATATAACTATATATATATAACTATATATATATATATATATATATAATATATATATATATATATATATATATATATATATATATATATATATATATATATAACTATATATATATATATATATATATATATATATATATATATATATATATATATATATATAATATATATAAAAATGAAAAATAACCTCATATGGGGAATAGCCAATTTCGGTAGACGAAAATATCGGCCGTTTGTCTTATCAACTGCAGCATGGGTCCACATTGAGATTGATAAGACAGACGGCCTTTTTTTTTTTTCGCCCGCCGAAATAGACTATTCCCCAAATGAGGTGATTTTTTGTTTATTAATTATTTACGCTGTATTGATAAATACATTGAGCTCTTTTTGTGGATCAGTTTTAATAATTTATATTATTAGGATCCACTTGGATTATATACCAACGAATTTGTTACTTTTACTATATATATATATATATATATATATATATATATATATATATTGAATAAAAACAGACCACTTTAAGGCTCCACGTAATAAGTTATTTCACCACAACCCTTTTAAAAGGGCTCTGGATCATCAGACTTTACTTCCAAAGGTTGAAGTGAAAAATGAAAAGAAATTTACACATTTTTGACGGACCGCACCAAGCATATGTAAAATTAACGAAGTGAGGAAGTGAGGTGGGAGAGAAGACATGGAAGTAAAGTCTGATTATCCAGAGCCTTTTAAAAGGGTTTTAGTTAAATAACTTATTAAGTGGAGCCTTAAAGTGGTCTGTTTTTATTCAAACATATCTGCTCTGAATTTACATTGAACTCTCTGGATATCATCCTCCTTGGGTCTACCCATACGGATTACCTAGTTTTGCATAAACTATATATATATATATATATATATATATATATATGAGCGGCAACCTTTCTTTTATACATGTTTTGTTATATATGATAGATAAGGATAATTTAATTAATTTTTATTAAGTTTTTCCAGCTTTCTTTTATTTTCCCGTTTGGTATGAGTAAGAGCGTGCAAATAACGTTCGTATTTTCCATTGTCTCAAGCGCTTTCGGTTAACTTTTTGGCCATTTTTGAGGGTTTTATTTTTGGCAATTGTTAATTTCTTTTCTTTTCATGTTTGTTGTTTTGGATCCTTGTCACAAAGGACAATATGGATTATTTTTTTTACCGCAAACAAATCTATCCGGATGCCATTTTATCCGAAGATTAAGGGCACTGCATAGGTAACTGTGACTAGAAGATCGTTGGAGATTTTGTGTTATACCGTCGCATCTGCTAAACACAGCTCTTTCATATCTGTTATATTTTTAGATGCAAAAATCTTATGCGAGAAAATATCTCTCAACCACTTTAAATACATTCTTGATGCCGGGCGAATATATTGGTTGCGCCATTCTTTGAAAGTACCTTGTATTATCTTGAGTTCCTTAAACCAGATTTCACGTTGTATAATCTTGTAGAAATGACCAAACCTTTTATGGATACGTAGAATCCTTAAATGGGCATCAGTCTTATAATGCGGTCCAGATGACTCAAAACAGTCATATAAACACGCCCTGGGTGCCTTGTTGGCAACTGAGGTCAGTGGTTTGTATAACACCCTAGGGTAAAACCTGGTGGAACTTTTGCAGCTGAAGAATATTGAACCGACTTCCTAGATATGAATCTGGTACTTCCTACATCGAATATGGAATTAGATTTAAACCCTGTTGCTTTTCCGTTATTGTGGACAATTTACCGCCTGTCTTGACAATCATTAAGGATCCGTGGAAGGCGCCTGTGATATCAACAATGGAGAGTAATTCTTTCAATCAGATATGCCCTGAAGACACCTGGCACCATAGTTCGAAGACATGTCAATTTCCTGCAGTTTCAGAAATTGAATACCCCATCCGTCTGTCACCTAGTATCATTCATGGCGCTTTGGCATGAGTGGCTTTGCCTGGGGCTCTCATTGACTGATCAAATGACAAATTACAGCTGATATTAGGCTGGGTATTTCTA